ACCACTTGACCACCCAGACTCGGCTATGTGCTTATGTGCCGCGCGGTAGCGCTCGCCAAAATTTTTGTCTTCTCAGGAATCTTCTCAATATACTTCTCACTCCTCACCACCCAAACTCGGCTATGTGCCGCGCGGTAGTGCTTGCCAATTTTTTCTTGTCTTCTCACTGTCTCACCACTTGACCACCCAGACTCGGCTATGTGCTTATGTGCCGCACGGTAGCGCTCACCAAATTTTTTGTCTTCTCAGGAGTCTTCTCAATATACTTCTCACTCTTCACCACCGACCACCCAAACTCGGCTACGTGCCGCGCGGTAACGCTCGCCATTTTTTCTTGTCTTCTCACCACCCAGACTCGGCTATGTGCCGCGCGTTAGCGCTCGCCAATTTTTTGGCTGTCTTCTCACCACCCAAACTCGGCTATGTGCCGCGCGGCAGCGCTCGCCCTCGCCAATTTTTCTCCTGTCTTCTCACCACCCAAAATCGGCTATGTACCGCGCGGTAGCGCTCGCCAATGTTTTCCTGTCTTCCCACCACCATGCACCCAAACTCGCCCATGTGCCGCGCGGTAGCTCTCGCCAATTTTTTCCTGTCTTCTCACCACCCAAACTCGGCTATGTGCCGCGCGGCAGCGCGGGAAAATTTTTTCCTGTCTTCTCAGTCTTCTCACCACCCAAACTCGGCTATGTGCCGCGTGGTAGCGCTCGCCAATTTTTTTCTCCTGTCTTCTAACCACCCAAACTCGGCTATGTGCCGCGCGGTAGCGCGGGGAAAAAATGTTTTCCTGTCTTCTCACCACCTATGTGCCGCGCGGTAGCGCGGGAACAATTTTTCCTGTCTTCTCACCGCCCAAACTCGGCTATGTGCCGCGCAGTAGCGCTCGCCAATTTTTTTCCTGCCTGCTAGGCTGCCACCCGCAGGCAGCGCGAACTTCCTGGCCGCCAGCTCACCAGCTGTTGTCTCCCAAAAAACTGCGTCCGACCTGCCCAAAACTAGGATGCAGTGCCAAAAAAAATACGATACAGCAAAAAAATTAAAAATCAGGCCCCGGCCTGAACTTTATTTTTGTGGTTTCCAGAGGCCAGCATTACTATGTATAGTTTCCTGTTTTTCCATGGCCCAGACCCGGCCAGAAACAGGAAACAGTACATAGTAATAGCTCTGTTTTGGAGGCTATTACTATGTACTGTTTCCTGTTTCTGGCCGGGTCTGGGCCATGGAAAAACAGGAAACTATACATAGCAATGCTGGCTGCTGGAAACCACAAAAATAAAGTTCCGGGCCGGGCCTGAACTTTATTTTTTTTGCTGTATCGTAGTTTTTCAGATTTTTTCGGCTGAGTTTTACTTTTTTTCAAAATAAAGTTCCGTGCCGGGCCTGAACTTTATTTTTTTGCTGTATCGAATTTTTTCCTATTTTTTTCCGCTGAGTTTTATTTTTTTGAAAATAAAGTTCCGGGCCGGGCCTGAACTTTTTTTTTTTGCTGTGTTGTATTTTTCCGATTTTTTTCCGCTGAGTTGTAATTTTTTTTCAAAATAAAGTTCCGGGCCGGGCCTGAACTTTATTTTTTGCTGTATCGTATTTTTTTAAGATTTTTTCCGCTGAGTTTTATTTTTTTTCAAAATAAAGTTCCGGGCCGGGCCTGAACTTTATTTTTTTGCTGTATCGTATTTTTTCAGATTTTTTCCGCTGAGTTTTATTTTTTTTTTCAAAATAAAGTTCCGTGCCGGGCCTGAACTTTATTTTTTTGCTGTATCGATTTTTTTCCTATTTTTTTCCGCTGAGTTTTATTTTTTTGAAAATAAAGTTCCGGGCCGGGCCTGAACTTCATTTTTTTGCTGTGTTGTATTTTTCCGAATTTTTTCCGCTGAGTTGTAATTTTTTTTTCAAAATAAAGTTCCGGGCCGGGCCTGAACTTTATTTTTTTGCTGTATCGTATTTTTTTAAGATTTTTCCGCTGAGTTTTATTTTTTTTCAAAATAAAGTTCCCGGCCGGGCCTGAACTTTATTTTTTTGCTGTGTGGCATTTTTACAGATTTTTTTCCGCTGAATGTTTTTTTGTCAAAAAAAGTTCCGTGCTAGCCAGCCACTTTGCTAAGCTAATGGAATAGTTGCCATTGCCACTGCCGCAACTGGATAGGCCTAAGAGAAGCAATGGGCCACAGCCTGCAGCTTTGGGTGTCCTTCTGCGAGCACGGAAGATTAGCAGTGACTAGCAGCGTTTGAAGCCTTACCTTCCGGACTCAGCGCTTGGGTTGTGTAGGGATTATATAGGCAGGGTAAGACCTTAAACCCTTAACACCCGAAGCTGGAGGTATGTTGACGACAAGAGAGTCTTATACACTACGACTGCGCCTTATGCAGCCCAGGATACCACGTATGATTTGGAGACTCTTGGCCGACCGACTGTTGGCCTCTAGGCCCTGACTAAGCCTAAATCCTAAACCGAAACCCCTCAACCCTAGACCCTAAACCCTAGACTCGACCGTTACCCTAAAACCACTGAACCCTAATCCGAGGGTTTAATTTTGGAGTGATGCTGCTGGACTAGTGGCCTCGCGAAGCCTCTCGGCTCAAGTATGTTGACGACAAGACCACGCAGGTGTGCAGGGTAGGTTAAGCATGAGGTCATGCAGCTCATATATGCCATCCAAGGATGCCATTTCGGTACGATGCTGATTTCTGAGTCTGAGGGTACGTGAGTCGCCTGTAATTCCACCAAATTTCAATCAACCCCAAGGTGCTTCAGAAAAAACACGGGCCAGAATCCAGATAGATTGATAGTGTGTCTCGACGTAGTAGCTCATCACCGTAATGACCGTAATGTCAGATAAGTTGAAGACCCGAAGGCTGAAGGCGCACCGCAAGTGTAGGTGCAAACGGGCCCGCCGGACGGAAAAGACTTCAAAGCAGCTGCAGTTCCAGCCAGCCGGCTTTTCACCACGCTTGGCAGACTGGGATAGGAGAGAGAGCGAGAGGGACAGACAGACATAGTGAACGAGAGTGAGAGCAGTTCGGAAGCTTCTTCCCACTTCCCAAGAAACACACAGCGGACTCCGCGGACCAAAAAGCACTGCTTCGCTGACTTTGCTGCTGCAGAATTGCTGAGTGAGTGCGTTAAGTTCGTTACAGTATTTGGTCTTTTTTGCTGTTTCATTGTATGCTGATGGGCTCAGGGGTTTCAGGTCAAGAAGCCTGCAGAATGCAGAATTGACGACAACGTAGCCCGGATTATGCCTCTGGATTGCAGCAATTGAGCAGCTGAGGCCGTCAAGTCGGGCAGTTCAGCGCGTCTCAAAACTGACAAACACCAGTGGCAAAAGTCACAAGACGCACAAGCCGGATCACGAATCACGATGTCATACATGCCGCGCAGGCAACCGACCACTGACATTAATAGGCGCCTGGATTTGGTGGGATCCGGGGATCCGTCAATTCATCCCCCCTTCCCAGGGCCCCCTCTTGCCCCCCAATTCAACAAATTGGTTGTATGAGTTCCGGATAAACAACCATCCTTTCAAGGCATACGTTTGGCAAACATGCCTACCCGAAAAATAAAACGCAGTTCCATTCCTGAACCACCCTGAATTATGAAATTTAATAACTTGGACCTTTGGGGATATACAGCAGAGCCTTGAGCCGCAAGCCTTCACGACCTAAAGTTTAAAAGTCGCAAACCCGGTGACGCAACAGGGTTTAGGGGTTTAGGGTTTTCGGTTTTTGACTTAACTGTTTGAGTAAAACAACCTCAAACTAAGATGCGATCCTTGAGCCGCTGACTATGGGCAAAGTAAACCGCTGCCTCACACTAAGGGTCCATGTAATTACAGTACCCACTAGAATATACTTTGGCCTTAAAGTAGTCCCCATTTAATCTAGCTGCTTTGGAGCCAAAGTACATACTATTTGGGTACATGGACCCTTCGAGTTACACTGTTTGAAAGTTTATGGGTACTCAAAGGCAAGGCTATGGGCTGACTGCATTTAACACCTGATTAACCCAAAGGCTCCATGTAGCTTTATAGTAGATACTTAAGCTTTAAAGGGGACCCTATATACATACTTTGAGGCCTAAGTATATGCTATATGGGCACATGGAGCCTTAGGGTAAGGTGCTTGAAACCCAATTTCTACTTGCCCATCAACCACGCAGTACTGTAGACCCAGGTTGTCGACACCTTTTGTTTAAGGGCGTTACTGTCGGGATACTCTCGTCCTGTAGGTCCAATGGCAAAATTATTGGATACTTGGGTTTAGGATAGTGATAATGCGGGGGCCTTGATCAAAAAACAGTACAAGAATATCTATATATATATATATATGTATATGTACATGACTGTGTATATATATATATATATATATAATGATTAGTTATAATAAGGAACCCAGGAAAGAGTATTGGTAATTGTGCAGGCCGCTGTACTCGTCGCCCAGAACCCTAGGGGATGTGCTGATGCACCACCAGGCCACGGATACGGCCATCAGGAGGTCTTCAGAATCAATCAGACGATGTTTTTTTTAGGGATTTTACTTGGAGATTGCGACTTCCCATTCAACGCTCATATCACGCTGACAGAACTTCATACCCTGAACCCTACACCCAAGGTTGCAAGGTATGATGGGGTTTTGCATTCGGTTTGGACCGCTAGCAACGCACAGCTTGCCATGATCAGTGCCATGTGCGATCAGAATTTACCGCAGCATAGAGGGCCGCATACACGTTTGCGGGCGCTTCCAAGAACTATGAACCGAAACATCGACTCTAGACTGTACACTCAAACCCCTAAATCCCGAATCCTTGAATGTTATCACTCGCTTATAGGTAACCTTGTTGCAAGGAAGTGATCCGTTTTGTTTGAACAAGCCATCTCTTCGTTTGAGAAACGCCGCGTCTGTTGATGGTGATTTTGGGTTCAGGGTCAGCGGCTAGGGGTTGGCTGAACACCGCAGACAATCTCCGAACAAAGGCTTGGGCAGCAATTGAACACGTCATCATGCGCCTAAGGCGGCTCGATGAGCTCGCATCCGGCATCTTCGTCCTCAAAAGATTCGATAAGGCAACGGCCATCACGGGGCTTCTCCACCGTGGCGAAGATCAAGTTCTCTGCCAAAAGCTCGTCCGGAAGCACCAGGTTGTCTCTGCTTCCAGATGGGTCCACCTAAGCGTAGGGTTTAGGGTGTGCATACATAGAGCTTTGGGCTGAGGGTTTAAGGCCTACAGCTGAAACCCTAAACCCTAAACCCGTAAACTGCGCGAACAGGCACGCCAATCTCAATGGCTGGCTTGCCGGTGGCATCCGTGGTGATCATGAACCTGGGAGTTGAAGGTTTAGGGTTTAGGGGTTTAGGGGTTTAAGGACTTAACCAGGGAGAAAAATGCATGCCATTTCATTACTTTCACAAAACGGGTCGAAACAAAAAGTTCATCAAGCATCCCTCTGCAGGGCCTAGGAACGAATTCACGGAGGAAGGGTTGTCCTTAGTTGCCGAGCTCTCCTGGACTTCAAAAGACGGCTTGAACAAAGAAGCTGCCCCAACCCTGTAATAGTGACTATAAGGAATATATTAGGGCCCTAGAATATTCCTATTATACCACTATTACAGGGTGGGGGGCCCTTCTAAGCCTGTAATAGTGACTATAAGGATTATATTAGGGCCCTAGAATATTCCTATTATACCACTATTACAGGGTGGGGGGCCCTTCTAAGCTTGTAATAGTGACTATAAGGATTATATTAGGGCCTAGAATATCTGGGTTGTAGTTTTGGGGCTCTGAAAAGTATTTATGAATAGGTACCTCTGTAGGAACCACAAGGGAAACTAAAAAGTTTCCCAACTTGCCACCTAGAATATTCCTATTATACCACTATTACAGGGTGGGGGGGCCCTTCTAAGGTTGAACTTTCACCCAAAACAAGGTTGAGTCCCCAAACCCTAAACCCACTGGCCCAAAACCAAAGGAAATAAAGTTGAAACTTTTAGAATCGACTACCTTATAAGAGCCCCCAAAAGTTGAAAAGTCAAGTTTACAGCCAATAAGTAAACCAAAAAGACTTCCCCCAAACCCTCACCCTAACCCTAAACCCTTAAACCAAAAAGCCCTTCAACCCTAAACCCCTAACCCTCAAAGCCTAAACCAAGCATACGCATGTAGGGCCCCGAAAAACAGCGCATAAGCAAACGTTAGGATAGGGATGTCCCATATAAACCCCCTTAAAACGAAGCCTGGGTCCCTAAACCCTAAACCCTAATCTTTCAGCTTCCAAAGGTCCGCAAACACCCGGGCGGACCACTTCTCGCGAAGTTCGTTCAACCTTTGCTCCGGGAGGCTCGGCTTAGGGTTTAGGGGTTTAGGGGTTTAGGGGTTTAGGGGTTTAGGGGTTTAGGGTTTAAGGGTTTAGGGGTTTAGGGTTTAAGGTTTAGGGGAATATAATAGAAGCCCAAAACTTGGAAACCCCACTAGCCCCAATCCTTAAGAGTAATGTCTAGGGAGTCCCAGCACTATTTGGCCTTGATCCGGTTTCCAACTTGATGGGGTTTACTGTAGGGTGGCGGGGTTGAGGGTTTCGGGGTTCAGGGATTTAGGGTTAAGGGGTTTAGGGGTTCAGGGCTCGGGGTGTAGGGTGTGGGGTTTAGGGCCGAGGAGTTTAGGGCCTGCCCGAAACTAGTGTAATCGACGGTGTTGCAGGTAAACAATATAGACCCGGATATGAAAATCCATAGGGACCCTATGCAAAGGTTCCTTGTGTCAATTTTTTTGGAAGTGCTTTACGTCGACAAAGATACCGAAGCGATACCCGTGGACGAAGAGGACGAGGTCGTTTTCCACAACATGCCATCCGAAGACTGCTCCTCATCCACACAGCTGAGCCGGCAAAGGCCAGCTCAGCAGTCGCCGGCTTCTCCGTCGTCGTCACAGCGCTTGCGCTTTAACTTGGCGAAGCCAAAGCGCTCCCTGAGCGTCTTTCTCACCATGGCAAGGTGACCCAAGCGGGCCACCGCCATGGCAGATGGCTCAGCTACGAGCGGCCTTGTCCTTTTGGGGGAAATGGACAGGGCCCTTTACCCTAGTCCCTTAATAAGAAGCCCTTAAAGAAGGTACCTTAACCGATCTGTCTATTCTTTATTAGGGGACCATAACAAAGGACAACAGTGGCTACGAGAGGCCACCCCAGTCGCTTGGTCAAAGCATCGCCATGGGCATCAGGACGAGTCGAACTGAACGCTGGACACACCCAAGGGCTTAAAGGGCTTTAGGGTGTAGGGCTTCTGGAAAGATATCCTGACCAGTAAGGCCATACCTTAACCCCAAATAACCTGCAATTCTAAGGACTTATGGCCCTAAAAAGGTAGATTATTTGGACGAGCTCCGTGAATAAACCCCTACATTTTAAGGGCCCTAAACCCAAAACCCCCAAACCCTAAACTTTCGACCCCTGAGCCCTCAACCCGAAGATCCCTACAACCCGAAAATCCGTAAACCGGGCTAAAGGGATCTCAAAACTCCAGCGCTCTTGGCTATACTCCCCTTAGAGCCATAAGACAAAACACTAGTCTTAACATTCTCTGGGGTATCGTATGAACCAGAATGAAACTTAATTCAGAAGGAGACGAGAGTTCGGTACTTTTGGTGCGAAAGCCCACGGGAAAAGCTCAGATCTGGTCTCTGGGCCACATCTCCGAAACCATAGCCCCAAGGGTCCATGAGCCCAAAAGGGTTCCGCTAAGGGGCTCCTTTAAGGCGTCTATAAGTTCTGGTGCCATGACGGCTTAGCGTTTAAGGGTTCATGTATCCAACTAGTATGTACTCTGCGCCCAATGTACGTATATAGGGAATACTTTGAGGCTAAAGTATATACTCTCTGGGCACATGGACCCTTAGGGCAAGCGAGGGGCTCCCCTGTCTAGGTCTGATACAGGAGCCTTCATAACTCGATTAGGCTCGGCTTGGTGGTAGTTTGTGTTAACATGTCATCCTAGTAAGCTCACTGGCTCAAAACTGAAACTTTCAGAATCGACTACCTTATAAGAACCCCAAAAGTTGAGAAGTTTAGTTTACAGCCAATAAGTAAGGAGACCTGAAGCAGTGTTACTAGTTAATTCAGTTATTCAGGCTTCTCGAGTACTCAGAAAATGATCCTGCGATTTGAGGTGTTCTTCTCTCCCGAGGGCTTCTCGGAAAAAAAAGCAGCTGAGTACAGTGTTCTGGCATGCCAGGGAGCTGGAGCATCTTCGTCCTCGCAAGAGATCTTGAAAGAAAGCGCGAATACAGAAACCACAAAAATGTTACGGCGAAGTGTCTACGATTTACGGGTGAACCCGAAATCCTGAAACCCGACACCCTAAGCCTTCAGACCTAAAGCACTAGACGACACCAGTGCCTGATTTCCTTCAAGCACAACAGCTCAGTAAGCCCCCAAAGCCGCAAACCCAAATTATGGCCCAAATTGCACAACGGCCCGAAGCCCTGCACCCTAGGGTTTAGGGTTTTAGCCCTCAACCCCAAACCCAGACAACCCAGGAGTTCCTCAAGAGCCCAACTACCTTTGTAGTGCATTCCTCGACAGTACTGTACCTATGTAGCAACATCCTTAAGGCAAGGGAATATGCTGCATAGGCTGGACACCCCATGCAGTAAACCCTCTCTATCCTTCTCCTTGACTGACTTAGTTGAGTTCAGAAGGACAAAGCATGTCGATTTTCAAATGTACAAGAGATAATGTTATCCTTGCAATCGGAAAGCACGCAATCTGTTGAATCCAACGGGCCCTGAATTACCCCAAATCCTCAGTCTTCATCCCCCAAACCCCACGCCTTAAACCGCAAATTTTACCAACACAAGTTCAAAGCCAAATAATTAGGCCCCGAACAACTTCTAATGACAAACCCTGATCTGAAGCCCTGCCAAACCCGGATCTGAAACCCTCATCCAAGGAGCATCTTGTCTTCCATCCCGGCTGGCTCTCCTCCCGATTCCGCAAGAACCGCCGCTTTCTCGGCCTCCATGAGCACAGCTTCCCGAAGAGGGTCAGCAAAACAGATCCAAGCACGGCCCTAAACCCTAAACCGCAGGACCTACTAAAACTCCTTCGAACTTTGAAGGTGCTGGCTTGAGCCGGAATCGCGGCGGAAAAGCCCAGCCTGCGTGTTGTAGGACTGACAGGGTTTAGAGGTTTGGATTCTCTGAATATGCAGCTGCACTATTGCTAACTTGTCCGACCGATGTAATTTATCAACTCGCAGCTACAACTACAGCCTTGCCACCCCTTAACTCTAAACCCTACACCGCCCTTGCACCCGAGCCCTTGAGCCTAGGTTCGTGGCGACAGCTCGCTTCCCCCCGGACTTTACTCACAAGCACACCACATGCCGTGAACTGAATGAGTTGCTGGTTACAGAATAGGCTTGTGGTAAGTTTTGGCATACATTGTCCTATATGTAGTTGTAATAAGGAATCCTAAGACCCTAAGGAATACACATCGAAATGCTGGGTATTTCTGCCGACCCGTATCGTCCTCTCGGTTGCCGCACTCATGTACCCTTGGACTGTCTGGGCTCCAGGCATCTTGTGCCAAGCACTAGTGAGGTCTAGCGTGTGAAAGCTACCTAGGTCCGGATAACCTGCTTTATTTTAGGGTTTCGGGATTTATGGTAGGATACAAAAGGAACCAAGGTCAAAAAGAAAAGGTGCAACATGGGACTACACCTACTCTCTAGGGTCTAGGTAGGGCTTCAGGAAAGTCACTTCTCAATCCTGGAACCCAACACCCGCCATCAAGTCTTTTCAGGCAATGAATGAGTGCATGTCACCATGCTTCTTGTTTGTCTCACTCGAAGATCGCACGATCCAGCAACGCCTGGGGCTTGAATTCAAGCAGGTTCTGTTTCAATTTGGAGTTCTGTCTACGGGTCCGCAGTAGGAGGTTCATGTTCGTCACCTTCAACCCTCTGGGCAAAACCCGGAGCTTATACGTTGGTTACTCCATGCATGTGCCCATAACCGTGGAATACGCCTGGGGTCAAGGGAAATGCAGTATAGCCGGATTCTATGACGGCTTGGATTTAAGGACGCTGACCAGTGTGTGTCCTCCTGATCACCTAAACGGACCGAGAAATAAGGCCCAGCCATATCACAGGCAGGAACATGGACCACATGTCGGTAACTTACGGTACACCATTCGGCACTCTAAGGCCTAGACCCTAAACCGAAAGACGCCGTAAATCGTAAACTGGCTCTTACTCCAATTTAAACATGGCTCAGATAACCCAATACCGGATTGCGACTGCCTTCTGCTTTCTGCTGGAAAGCCGTGCAGAATTGCTTGGGAGTCTGATAATGTAGACAATTCAACTGCAGACACTGAGTTCAAAGAATATTACAAGGATGCTTGACTGAAGTATCCGTGGCTGCAATAATCCCCCTTCCCGCTTGCCATGAGGTTTGGAATGTAGCCCCTTTCCGGGATGACTTGCTTTATAGCTAGGATCCTAGATGACGAAGCTATAACCGAAACCACAACAAGAACTACAGTTTAGTGTCTGGGAAGGCTATCGATTGCTCAGGTCTGGTCTGTAGTGCCTCCGAAAAATTAAAGGTCACCTACTCGACTCTTACGAGGTGTTAGTTCAACCACCCTAATTGGGAATCGGAGCTGTAAGAAATGTGTCCTGGGGGAGTGAGTGTCTTGAATGCAAGAAGTGAGATGAATAGGGCCGATTCAAGTCCAATCCCGACATCTCGCTCCAATGTTCCAGCAGCGAACAAGCTGCTGAGTTGACACCTTGTCTGTAATGTTGGCCGGCTTGACATTATACCTGCGGACCTGAATCCCTAAACCCTCTGAAGTGTGGGAAGACCGGATATACAGGTGAAGCCAGACCACTAAAGCAGAAACCGTTAGCCATACAAGCCGAGTTTGAGCAGCAAGAAGCCCGGAAACTCACCTAGGGATTCCTGTGCTAGCTGCGCAGTTTGGTTGAAATCGCCACCAAGAAGACGAATGTTATCTCGCCGGCACAGCCTCACATGGAAGCCAAAACATACCGAACGCTGTTCGGCTTGTGTGCTGCCCAGCTCTCGTAGTGAACCGACATAGCCCAGATCACTTCCAAACCGGCGCGCTTCAGGACGGTGTCATCCTGTAAATGATGCCAAGTTAGGCTAGCAGAGCCACGGTTTTGGGTTTAGGGTTTAGGGTTTAGGGTTTAGGGGTTTAGGGTTTAGGGTTTAGGGTTTAGGGTTTAGGGTTTAGGGTCAGTTGCGGTCCAAGGTCGGCGGATCAGGCCGTTATGCTCCGTCCAAAAGGGGCCCATGGCTCCGAGAGTTGCCAACATGGGGTATCCCTTACTAAGGCTCCATGTACCCATCTAGTATATACTTAGGCCTTAAAGTACCTATATAGCCACCCCTTTAAGGCTTAAGTATCTACTATAAAGGTACATGGAGCCTTTGGGCTAAGGGTCCATGTACCCAAATAGCATATACTTTGGCCTGCAAGTGCTCCCTGTATATGTACATTAATCCCAAAGTATCTACCATTTGGGTACATGGACCCTTGGGGTATATAGTTCCAGCTGCCTCCTGCAGCAAGACCACGTGATTGTTCCGCGTGAGGTAGTCGTTCAATCGTTCCCCGTGGCACACCCCTAAACCCTAGACCGACCATTGCCCCAAAAACTTATCACGAAGTGCTTCGGACTTGGGATTTCCTTGGGCCCAGCCTGAGACAGCGCTCTCATCATCTGAATCTAACCCTAAAACCCTTCTAGATCCCTTTTAGCAACCCCTAAGGATCCCTTTAAGGAGCCCGAAAACCCTTAAACGCTCTTCATGTGACGGGTGTTGGCTTAAGGTTTAACGAACTGTTACCACAATACCCTGAAATCCGATTTAAAAAACCATTATGGACCCAATATCACACCTAATCTCTGCCTAAACCCTCAACCCCCAAACAAGAAACCCTCAAACCCCGAACCCTAAACCCCTAAGGCCCTAAACAAGAAACCCTAAACCCCAAACTGAACTCCCAAGGAAACCAACAATTCGAGAAGTAAGACCCAAAGATCCATCTCCGCTAAGCCTGAACGCCCTGCCCGAAGCCCGAAACCCGAAAGGGGCCTTCAGACTTTAAGAAATAGGTGTTGGGCGGATGTTGTAAACTAGCTACATTAGGAACTCAAAGGGTGTACCATGACTAAGTCTGTTCACCCCTTTTTCCTTGGTTTAGGGCTTATACTTGGAGGGTCGGGGGACTTAGTAAGTAGTTAATAAGTATAGAGTTATAAGCACCCGAAAAGGGATCCTAATTGGGGTTATGGTACTTATAAGTCCCCAAAATAACTAGTTACTAAGTCCCCCGACCCTCCAAGTAGGGTTTGGGAACCCTGAAGCGTATGTAGCTGAGCTGCACCGGGTGATTCTTCGTTCGCCAGCTTCTCTGCAAGCGCTCTTACGGCCTCGGGTAAGTCCATTGTAGGGATTGGTTATGGGGTTTGGGGTCAAGGTTCTAGGGTTTGGGGTTTAGGGTTTGAGAAGGTCTTGGGGTTTAGGGTTTGGGGGGTCGGAGGTTTGGGTTTAGGGTCCTGCACCGTTGGGGTTGCTCATTTTGACTTGCCAGAGAGAGGGGATGGTCGGAGTTCAGGTAAGCCTACTTGGAGGGTCGGGGGACTTAGTAAGTAGTTAACAAGCAGACTTATACGTACCCTAAAAGGATCCTCATTGGGGTTATGGTACTCATTATAAGTCTCCAAAATAGCCAGTTACTAAGTCCTCCGACCCTCCAAGTAAGTCACTCAAATGGTTTGTCAGGGCTTGCGACCAGCCTCAGCTTCCTCTTCCTCAAAGTTTTCAGTGTCAGCAACCTGGCATCAGGGGCTTGAAGTGTTTCTTAAAGCTTGCAAGACCCTAAACCTCAAGGCCTGAATCCTAAATTCAAACCGATGAAAGGCGTCTGCAGTTGAAGTCTACAACGTCTGAACAAATAAAGCGCAACATCTCTTTGGTTAAGGCTATTTAATGTGAACTTCATGGGCTGCCAGGATCTGATAAGGAAATCGCTCAGATTCTAAAGTCTGGGAGTGCGCCATCTGTGCCTGAGGCTTGCATCAGCGGCTATGTACAGAACAGTATACACCGCCATTCTGTCCCATGCAGACAAATACGCACCGGAGGCTCAAGGCACTGTAGGCTCAAAACATAGCACAAATAGAATAAATAAATGCATAGTAGAATGTAGGGTGTATATGTTAGGAAGTACTAGTATGGTAAGGGGATCTTATACCCCATACAAGTACTTGGGGATCCGTTGGGCTAGAAACCCCAAACTCCACAAACTCCCGATGATGAGCATAAAGCACTGGCAAAGCTACACAAACCGAAGGGTTCATGTACTCAACTAGTATGTACATAGGCCTTCATGCGGTCCCAAAATTGGTACTTTAAGGTCTAAACCCTGCAAGCCCAGCACTGTCAATTTCGAAGCCTAACCACCCAAATCTCAAACTCCGTGGTACTGGACACGTAGTAGGGTTTCGGCTGTTGGCTGAGGGATTCTAGGCCCTAGGCACCGTTATGCTTCTGTAAGGGTTTACGGTTTCGGGGTGTGGGTCTAGGGCTTGTGGGAGGTTCAGGAACAGCCAGAGTCTGGAAGCAGTACTAGACAATCCTTGGGAGTTACCGTCTTGTCAGAACTGTGATTGTCAACCTTACTTGTTGCCCTTGTAAGAGCCGCTTCCAACCAGGTACGGGGATCATATTCATCAGCCCTAGAAAGGTAGGTTTCTTACCCCCACGGTCCATGTACCAAACAAGTATATACTTTGGCCTTTAAGTGATCCCTATATCGGAACACTGGTACCAACGTATATACTGTTTGGATACATGGACCCGTACCCTAAGGCTCCGTGTACCCATATAGTATATACTGAGGCCTTAAAGTACCTATATAGGGACCCCTTTAAGGCTTGAGTATCTACTATGAAGGTACATGGAGCCTTTGGCTTAGGGTTAGGATCCAGGTGAACTTTACGCCCAATAGGTCTGACCTTACCGGCCCGAAACACGCAGCAGTGCCGAGAACTCCCAAATGCTTGCTCTGAACCAGGACCCTCCTTGTACCCTCAAATAGGGGTATATGGTCCCAATAAGGGACATTTCGGGTCTAATAGAGGGTATATGGAAGGTCTATAGGAAGCTCTAAACCAGACCCTAAGCCCTACTTGGAGGGTCGGGGGACTTAGTAAGTCGGTGAATTCAAGTAGGGTACAAGTACCCTAATTTAATTGGTGTTCTGATACCAGATGACTCTACGACCTAACCACTGCCTAAGTCCACTCACCCTCCAATCCAAGTTCCTAAACCCCCTAAACCCGTAAACCCCCAAAACCCCTAAACCCTACTTCCGAGCCCGCGGGCCTCGACGTAGCGCGGGTAGGACTCCAGGCGGGTGCTGTTGAAGTCGGAGGCTGAGCCCATCGAAAAGCCCTGGAAGGAGGGATGCTTCTTTGGGGTTCCGTAGCCAGAGATCCACAGGGGTTCCTGCAATAGTTTTGACAAGGGCTTTTTACGTGATACAGGGTTTAGCGTGGTTGTTTGTGTTTGTGCTCAGGGGATGAGCGTTTGAGGGTTTAGGGATAACTGATGTTTCAACTCTGTTATTACACTCTATGCGGGCTTTGAATTTCGTCTTCAGTTACTGCTTATATAGAATCTGGGTCAGTGCTGACAACTCGTTTCCCAAAGAGCCCTGATACCCAAGGCAGCAGGTAGTGACACGAATCCTGAATCCTTCTGATTTCGATCTACCTATAAATCCCAGGCCGCGCAAAAGAAGCGGATTCCTGTGCCTGTAATTAGTACAGTTAAAGTAGAACCCCAAAACGAAAAAAAGGAACAAAGGAACGCCTAATAAACCCTGAACCCTACACCCTGAACCCTATATAGCCTATACCCTAAACCCAAGCTGCTCACACCATGGCACTTTATGTGGCGCTGCCTTCTCATAGGTCGCGTAGCGGGGAGATGAAGTTCCATAACCTGCACAGACAGGCGAAAGAGTTGGGGTTAAGGGTTTACTGCAGTGCCTGGGGTTCAGAACTGCTACTTGTTCACAAATGATGGTGCAGAGCAGGATGCACATGCCTGGAGAGTGAATACGAACATCTGCAAATTTTACACACCATGCATCCTAATGCCTAAAAGGCTTGAAGTCCTGTATTCCGATGGTTCCCAAACCAGCAAACTGAACGCCCGAAACTTGGCCGCACCCTGAGGCAGTAAGGACGCTTGACAGAGGCTCCAGATCCTTGCTATGCACTGATCAAATCTGCTGACACCGTCCTTAGGGGAGGGTTTTTCAACTGGCTGGAGGAGACGAAGCAAGAAGACCTACCCAACTCTCAACCCGTAGTCCTAAAACGAAGGAGACACACATCCTGGTGCCCTGAATGTGGCTCCTAGCACCCATGTAGCGGTTTGAGGGTTCCAGGTTTAGTTAGGCTTTAGTGTTCCAGGTCTGACGGTCCAAGTATCTTGGGTCTTGCCCCCTGGGTACTTTAATGGTCTGATATTCGTAAATTGCAGTTACTACTCAGCGAGAACTGCGTGGGGGCAGGATCCAATCAAGTACCTCTATAGCCATAGAGTGGGAATGCTATATTCTGAGTGGCTTTTGGAACCTAAACCACCACTACTTGGGCGCCGCACCGTTTAGAGAGACGGACCTCAGCCCCCAAAAAAACAAAACCCAAACTTGGAGTGCAGTATTCCAACCGGGATCCTAATTAGGGGCGGAGTATGATACTTATTGCTACAACTCGCGAAACAGCAACTTGCAAAGTCCGACCCTCCAAGAAAGCCCAGACAGTCTAGCGCCTTGATGTCCTTGATAAGAAGGGTTGGGGCCTGCAACAGGGTCCGGGATTGGAGCAGTGATAAAAGGGGTGGAGTCTCCTAGGTCTTTCATAAGGTTGTAACTTAGTTTCTCAGTATAGTGCCTTGAGAAACAGGTTTGGGGTAGACTTTTATAGTATAACTGCTGAGGCACTACTGTGAGAAAACCTTCGTACCACTATAGTACAAGAAACCCTTCAGCAATAGCTGCCGCAATGTTGGGACGTCATGACCCTCACGATCTATGGCACGGCAAACGCAATCCCAGAACTGATCATCCTAGACTAGGCAAATACGCACTCCCAAGATTCCATTTGTACCAAAAAGCACCTAATCTGGGGTCGAAAGTCTAAAATACACCTACTTTGGCCTTTTTGGGAGTCTTAGCTCTGGGGTTGGGGCAGCAGTAATAACCCTAAACCCTAAACCGAGACCCCTGTGCTGGACGCTGTGGGACGAGCCCAAGAAAGCTCCATGTGCTCACGCAAGCGTATCAAATAAGCTTCGGCCTTACAGCACTTGGAGGATCATGGGACCTAGTAAGTAGGGTTATAAGTACCCTGATTGGGGTTATAAGTTATTACAAGTATAGTTACCCTAATTATAACCCTAGTGGCCTTACCCCAAGGGTCCAAGTACCTAATAATTATATATACTTTCCCACATCCTAACCTACGTAACTCCTAAAACCGAGTACCTGATTATTGGGTCCTTTGGACCCTTGGGGTTACAGCAGTCCCGAAACAGATGCTTGAGAGCCGATATTGTCGTAGTTGGGTACTATAGGGGCCTTAACAACTAGAGTAGGGGTTTGGAGCCCATTTTACAATAATTATGTGAAGGAACCTCCAAAATAGTGTAGGTAAAAAAAAGGCTTTTTTTTCGTACATGGACCCTTATATGGGAGAGCAAACTCCCGGAGAGGCCAGAGGGCCCCACTTTGGTGGGTTTTGGGCCTGTTTTGGCCTGAGGTAAGGTAGGCTTTAGGGTTTGGGTTTTAGGGTGCTTTAGGGGTTGAGGCTTTTGGCTGTATATAGGGCTTGAGAGGCTTAGGAGTTTGGAGCTTCAGAGGTTATACCTCCTCCTCAACCTGGTTCCCATAAGTGGCCGCATGAGCGAAGGATTGCCACATGTTTCCCCCTCAAAGTAAAAAGGGCGAGCGAAAACATAAAAAAATCGAGTACTACTGGGGAACCTAGCAAGCCTGCTGACCTACGGGAGGCTCAAAACCCACGAAGCTTGACGAAGCTCGACTGTCGGAAATGGCAAACTTATAGAGCTCCCCAAAGTTTAAGAGCACTAAACCCTAAAACTTAAACCCTAAGCCCTAAACTTAAGACCCTGCTAACCGTTTAACCCTAAGCCTTAAACCCTGAAAGCCCTCAAACCGCAAGCCTGACGATACTCGGCCTCTAGAGTAAACTCGGGATTCCTGACGAGTTGCTTAAGGACAGTCAGTACAGGGGCCTTGCGTACTATAGTATATTCATAGTAAGGAAACCCCAAAATGCGGTTGATGAGAAAAATCCTGCATGACCCAGTATACAGAATATGCCATAATTCCCATAGTTTCGGGTTCTTAATGTACATCAACAGTAGTATGGGCGGCTATTCAATAATAATGGTCCAACTATCTGGCACATGCTGTCCAAACCCTCAAACTTAACACCCTGAAACCCTATAGGCCCGAGACCCTATATAAGCCCTAATCCTGCAAACCCGCCCTTTTGCGGGCTCCTTGTAATGGTTTCGGTACGTCATGCCCTCAAAAGGTAGGTTTCTGGTGTTTTTAAGGCAAGCTCCAAACGCCAGAGCCAAAAACCCTGCGAGAGGCCCCACCGAGAGCCTTGGGCAAAAGGGACTTCGGCCTAGGACGGAAAGTTGCGCCCAGGATTCAGGGTTTAGGATATGAGCTGTTTCAAATTATGGTCCCTTTTTGTGTCCTTAGTATAATACGGCACATAATATTTAGGGTACCCCAAAAGGAACCATAATTTTGACAACTAACCATTTCTGTACAAGGGCTCCCTTAAAGGTTTAGGGCTTAGGATTCAGGGTTTAGGGTTTGTTAGTGTAAAAGGGTTCCTCTAAAGGTTGGATTAGGGCTTGCGATTCAGGGATTAGGTCATTCATATATATATATATAGGGTAAACGGGTTCCTTTAATGGCTTAGGGTTTAAGGTGCCTTCAAGGATTCCTTCAAGGGTTTGGGGTCCAAGAATTAGGGTCCAGGACTTGGGGTCTGGAATACTGGGAGGTTCATGGGACTTAGGTTTAGGGTTTAGGGGTTTCGGGTTTAGGGTTAGTAAATGCAGTTATAAGTTATAAGTACCCTAATTGGGATTATAAGTACATATAAGTGTAGCTACCTCAATTATAACCCTAGTTACTAAGTCCCATGAACCTCTAAGTATGGGGTCCAGGGCGAGGGTTTAGGATTCAGGGCTCGAATCACGGACAACAAAAACAGTGTGTTGGGCCTCATGGGGTTCAGGGCTGCTTCAGAATCTTCAGGGTCAGGCTTCTGCGGGGTTCTGCCAAGCGTCTTAGAAAGTGTATAAGTGTTGTGATTTTTTCTGGGGGCGCGGGGGGGCGGGGGTTGCAATCAGGGCTCCATGGTTTTGGTGGAGAAGTCTCGGCCCTAGAAGGACTGCGGGCTCGACTGGTTTCCACTGGACTTGACATGTGAACAGGGATCCTATGGAGCCGTACGGGGGTTGATGACCCCAAACCAATCCTAAACCGGCAACCTGTATTGATGGACCTGGCTTTATGGTTGGCATGACTATTCAGTGCACTACAAGTCTCCATGCAATCTCAGCTGGGCTTAGGTCCCTTATGTGCGCCATGTCAAGAGCCCTCAAAGGTTTTGTGGAGTCATTGCGACCTTTGCATATTCCAGGACCTAAGCTATACACCATGGACTTGCAGAGCACTATCTAAACTCTCCAAAACTAGACAGACTATAGGCCTGGCAAGGTTACACCCCGCTAAACCCTAAACGTCCCTGAACCGATTAAAAAAACGAGAGCCGGACGTCGTCGATAAATTTGCTTCGGATTTCGTTCTGCGCTTTGCGGCGGATCCTCAGAAAGTTGGGGGTGGAGAGACGTTCTGACTCTGATGGTTTGGGGGGGTAGAAGTTAACCCTAAACCCTAAACCCTAGGAGGGCCTTATTAGGTCTCGGACCAGGGGGAGCCTGGCGACCGTAGACGGGACAAACTGTCGCGTGTCTGTGGCTGCATAGAGCCGTCGACACTGTTGCATGAACAGTGGACTGTGCTATTCCCGTGTTGCTATGCGACAATGGCCATGACCCTGAGCTCACTCTACTCGACCTATGCAACTGCAAATGATATCCTGAACACTAAACCCCCTAAACCCTAAACCGCAAACCGATAAGCTGCACCCTGATCTCTACAGTCCCTAACATACAAACAGCACATGAAGGTGCTGGATGGTTTATTGCGATATGGGAGTTTCCGAAAATTTGGGGGACCCTAATATATAGTACCCTAAATAGTAGGATCCTTTTTATAAGGACCCCCAAAATAGGGAACCCCTAATTTTCGGAAACCCATATCTGCAAATTCGAGGAGACATGTCCACCGAAGCTTACCCACATGGGAATTGCACACGCCGAAAGTAGCGATCTCTAGAGATCTGTCGCGCGACGGCGCGGGCCGCTGATCCCAAACCCACAAAATACAAGCACTCCTAAACACTAATCCGCGAACCCTGCAAGCCAAGCTCTTATAAGGCTCCGACGCAGTGTGGTTCAGGGCCTCCGAATGCTAGAAAACGACGGGGTTAGCTCTTCGTGTTTGCAACCAGCAATCCCTCGTTCGCGGAGTCCTTGAATAAGGGATCTCTCTACCCCAAAGGGTAGGTACTGTTATGGGGGATACTTCCCATAGCCAAAATAGTAAGTACTAATATAGAAACCTTACATTCTACGGTGTAGGTAATTGTACCTTGGACCCGTTGGGTACTAGGATCTGCATTAGTCCCTCATTGTCTGAACCAGTCTTGGGAGGGCGGTCACGCATTCTGGTTCCGCGCGTGGGACTTTGCTCGAGTTGAAGTGTGCTGTATACTATAGTTTGGAAACTTTTGTAGACGGACGCTATATAATTCAATACAGCCTGCGACTTACTGACTACGTGTATACGCTCTCAAGCTAAACCCCCAAGCAGCCCAGGCCCCGAACCATTTTTCTCTAAGCTCGTGGAAACACCCACCCTAAAACTTAAACCCTCCGTGACAAAGCTAAAGTCCGACCCTAGACATCGAACTCTGTGCATCAAGCCCGACTGCCCCTAAACCCTAAACCCTACGCCCTGAACCCCAAGCCCTAAACCCCTGAACCCTAAACCCCTGAACCCTAAACCCTTCAAACCTAAACCCCAAAAGTCCGAAAGTCTTCTAAACCCTAAGCCCTAAACGGCTCTACAGTCGGGCCTTTGGCTGCACCACTATTAGGGTGTTCCTCAAAACCAGCCTCAAAATCCACTGCACCTCCTCAACCGTTTAGGGTTTAGGGCTTTAGGGTTTAGGGTTTTCGGTTTAAGGTTTAGAGTTTAGGGTTTAGGCTTTAGGGATCCTTTGGATGCGCCGCAAAACACCAACGAAGTCCGTGTAGAGCTGAAGCAAAAATGATATGCGTCAATGACTTTCGATTTTTAAATCCAAAATTGAATTCATAAGAGCACTAAAGAAATCCGAAACCCTCAACACAAAACTCCTAAAACCTAACCCCTGAACCCTAAACCCTAAACCCTAAACCCTAAACCCTAAACCCTAAACCAACCCCTAAACCCGAAACTCTAATCTCGAGACCCTAAACCCAAAGCCCCTCAGGCTTCCCCGAAAAAGCCGCCGCAGCTGCTGCCTCGTCCCACTGGTCCAGCCCAAAATGGACCCCAAGGCCTCAACTACACCAGGATTTTGGGGGTTTAGGGTGAGGGTTCCTTTAAGGGGCTTAGGGGCTTAGGGGTTTAGGGGCTTAGGGTTTAGGGCTTAGGGTTTAGGGGTTTAGGGTTTAGGGTACTTGGAGGGTCGGGGGACTCAGCAAGTAGTTATTCTATAGACTTATAAGTACCATAACCCAAAGTAGGGTCCCTTTTAGGGTACTTGTATGTCTACTTACTACCTACGTACTAAGTCCTCCGACCCTCCAAGTAGGTGCCTTTTCAAGGGTCCTCTAAGGGCTCGATGAGGGATTTTAGGGATTTAGGGGTTGGAGATTTTATAGGGGCTACTTTTACGGCTTCCTTTCAAGGGATAGGTTTTAGGGGTAGTATAGGGTTCTATAAGGGTCCCTTTAAAGGGATGAGCTTGGGGTTGAGAGGGGTTGGGGGTTTAGAGCTTAGGGGTTTAGGGTTTAGTCGCTAGGGTGTAGGGTTTAGGGCAGGGACTAAAGTACAGTAGACCCTATGAATGTACTGTAAGGCCGAGGTAACATGGACCCTAAACCGACCATTGTAGAAATCCTGACGGAGCAAGAATCCTCAAGCAAACACGAAAGAGCCCTCAGAGAAATGCCCAAGAACCCTCGCAGAACCGTGATAGGATCTCTCCAAGGCTCTGCTTAGATTCTTTCATCAAAGCACGCCAGTCCGACAAGACCAAGTCGCTAAACACCACCTCCATTCTACGTTATGAAGGACCCCTTAATCTCACTGAAAACCCAAGGAAATTAAAGTTGAAACTTTCAGAATCGACTACCTTATAAGAGCCCAAAAGTTGAAAAGTTGAGTTTACAGCCAATAGGTAATGTGCTTGACCCGGGGTTGGCCCAGGCAGCATCCCCGAACATGTCCTATACCCCCCCTTAGAACCAAAATAAAGACAATATCGTTCATATTCTCTTGGTTTTATATGAACAAACATGAAATAATTCCTAAAGAGACTATAGTTTCGATCAACCATGTAATGTTGGAGGCATGGGTCCATTCTGATCCGTTAAGGTGTCGGGTCTGCGCATGTTCATGACGATGATTTCCACCTGCACATAAAAACTCAGCACCTCCAGCCTCCAATTACACCAAAACAAACAACTTCAACTGCAACCTCCACCTCGTCATGGAAACACGAATACAAGGCTACACACCTCTTACAGAACAGTTGCAACCGTGTGGCTTCAATGAATAAATAGGAGCCAGGGGCTAATTACCAACAACAGTGTGTGCTAGTTCTACTCTCCCCCACGGAAACCTCCGAAGATAGGAAGAAGCGTCTGTAAACCCCCGCCACCTGTCTTTGTTTTTTATGATCCCGAAGCCTGCGAAGACAGAAGCTTTCCCAAGCTCCACAGGTTGCAAACCAAACATGCGTCAATAGAAAGGTCCCACGAAACCACGAGGAGTTCGTACGAACCATTAAAGCCCGGACGCTCATCAACACCTGTAAATACAGCAAGCGAAGCCAGCATAAAACTCTTTCATGCCGACCAAAAATATAGGACGGACGACCAGTCCGTAGATGGATCGACAGAATGGTAGGATGGATGGATGGATGGATGGATGGATGGATGGACAGACACATAGACAGGTCGATGGAGATATAACTAGATGCAAACACAAGCAGACAGGTAAAGATATCGAGTGCACTCTCTTGTATGTAGAAGAATATACCAGAATATGTGTACACATATACATATATGTATCTACACAGACATTATAAATATGCGTGTAGGTATGTATATATGCATCCTGTACACGCACAAACATGTTTGTACGCGTTCATGCCGGGTAGCCCAGGAGGCCGTACTGCATGAGGCCGGACAGCGCCATGGCCTCCGGTTCGCGAAGAGGCGAAACTTAGCGGCTGAGTACCCAGGCCCAAAAAAGTTTCACCTTTTCAAGTATGGTAGGATTGCACACACCCCAAAAAATAATGGTTACCCACTCAGCTACTAAGGAACATGTAGCACAAGGGTGAGGAAAAGGAAGTCAAGACTGATGCAGAGGCGGAGAGGCATGTGAAACGCTACAAACAACACCAATAACAACAGCAGTTGATGATAATCAGAATAACAACAATACAGAAGGCTTGGGGGACTTCGGATTGTGGATGTTGGTGTTTCGCACCTTGGGTCTGGCATTCCGACTGTGGGCTTAGGCATCTCATATATATGTGGGAGTGTCCGAAAATGGGGGCCGTATCAATATAGCACCCTAAATAGTGGGATCTTCATTATATGAGGACCCCCAAATAAGGCACCCCATATTTTCGGAAACTTCCATATGGGTGGTTGTCAAAATTATGGTTTCTTTTTGGGTACCTTAAGTAATAAGTGCCGTATTATGATAGGGACCCAAAAAGGGACCATAATATTGACAACCACCCATATGTCTTAGGAGGACGTTCGACTTATGGTTTGGTTTGGGAGTTTAGGATTTTGGCTTCAGGGTTTACCCCTAAACTCTAAATCAAACCCTAAACCCTAGGAGTTGTGGTACTTGTGTAGGATGTAGGGTTAAGGTTGCAAACATGCTTCTCTTGCGGTGTGGGGTTGGATGGGTTGGATTGGGTGGGGTGTGTTGGGGCTGGGTCTGCCGGTGATGTTTTCGTTGGCATAAGCTTGATGTGTAGTAGGTCTCTATGATCGTCTTAAGGTCATAATCAACAACTGTCGACTGTCATCCAGGGCTCGCTATGGGACATTGTGTATAGGGTCTGTATCGTGTGAATTGAGAGCCGGCTTACGGAATCCGGATTGGTGGTTCTACGGTCTTTAAGGTTGGGATGAATGTTAATCCCTAAGGGTCCATGTACTCATATAGTATATACATTGGCCTTCATGTAGTCCCTATGTAGGCACTTTGGGGCCCATGTATCTCTATATGGGTACATGGACCCTTAGGGAATAGTTTGTTCAGTGGTTGGCTCAAGCTGTGCTTGCGGGTGCGGGCAAGTTAAGCCAGCTCTGCGGTGCTTGATCACCTTGATCGACATGCTCGCGAAGATGTGTTAATCCATGATAACCCTCGACTCAACCCCATACATTCTCAAAGGCCACACCCGCACTGAAGATACTGCTGATGGACAAAATCCTGCATTACCCATTATCATTATAAGGAATATACCATAGTTCCCATAGTTTAGAGTCCTTAGGGTCATGCAGGATTTTGTCCATCAGCAGTAGGACCTAAACCAACTGCCCACTAAACCTTGCATCCTGAGCACTAGCCACTAAGACTAAACCGCAAGACGCACCGAAAAACAACCAAGACATTTGAACCCTTGCAGAGCCACTATGACAGCTGTATAGATCCTTGAGACTTGAAACCCTAAATGCCCAAGCACGGATAAAGCCAGCCTCCGACAAGACGTAGATGAAGAACAGGGAAAGTGCTCCGGCCATGCCAAGATACCTCTCAAGAAGGAGTCCTATCGGATTTGGAAACGGCTTCTCCAAGGGTTTTGTAGGGATTGAAGGGCTTGCGCTTATATCTGTTAGCAAACAAAATAGGTTGTGGGGTATATCCCTATCAGAGAGACAATATGTAGACACTTTAAGAGGATACTACTAATAACTCGTGGTTGTGTGTCTACGCTGGCTAGATCAGGACAAACCCCTGATTCCAAATCCCGAAAAACCATAAGCCCTAAAATCCCAACACTCTACAATCATACAGCCAAAAACCCTACAACTACAATCCCCAAACCCTAAAACCCTAAAGGTACTCACAGCAAAGGGAACCGGTGGCTCGGCATCCGACGAGACTTTACTTGGAGGGTCGTGCTTGAACCAGGACCCTCAACAAACGGTTTAAGGGTTTAGGGTTTAGGGTTTAGGGTGCCTGGAATCAGTTTTTGAAGTGTATTTCAGCATCTTGGGGCTTTCGGGCCTTTCTGGGCACCAAAAACCCTAAATAAGGAGTCCTTGACTCTTGGTTGGGGTCGACTTACATTAGGGACCGAGAGGGACTACTCTTAGGGATTGTTTTTTCCGACCCCTCTCTTACCTCACATAGAGGAGCCCGTCAAGCTGCTGACACATGCCTTGGTCTTTCAAGCAGGGCTTACCTTAACCCTGAATAACCTAGCTTTTTAAGGATTTACATAAGGAAATCATGATAAGGATCCCTCAAAAGGGTAGGTTTTTCAGGGTGAAGGTAGGGTTTATGGATTCCGATTTGCGGGTAAGATTCAGTGTCAGGGTGTAGGCCACGAACCCTTAACCCAAAGCCTTCGAGGCACCAGGGGGTTCATCCCAAATATCAACCCGAAGACCCCTAAGTACCGGTCCGGGTCACTTATGAGTGAATCGGCCGACGGCGGCTTCAAACACCCACACCCTATCGCGGTGGTCACGCCTGACCTCGCCGTGCTTGAACCTGCGAAGCGCGACACCGGCATCTGCAAAGAGGCTGTCGGAAACTGGGGCCGGAATCATCTCACGAGAGCTCGGTTATGCACGGCTGTGCGATGGTATGAGGCTTCGACATCGTGCTGAAACTCCGCCCGGCACCCACTGAGCAGCGCCACCCACGGCCACGGGAACCACGGGAAGGCCGCCAGAAGTCTTCATCTTGGGCATTTGGCACCTCGCCCTTTGGTGTAGAAGGCATCGGTTCCAGAGTGTCTGGCGCCTTGCGCAGCGTTTACGGCTGTTGAAGGTCTATAGTTTCAGATCTTGAAAAACTTGAAAACCGAAAAGGGCAGCACAGCCGCAAACTTTAAGCTGCAAACAAGCAAGCACAACTATGCTGAAAACTGCTTGGCTGTTTGGTCCCAGATTGAAGGGTCAGGGAACTTTGTAAGCATAGATAGTAAGTAGAGTTATACGTACCCCAAAACGGTAGGGTTATGGTACTCATGGGTGTACAAAGCAACTACATATAGTAAGTCTCCCGACCCTCCATATGGCCCCTGAGCCCGCCTTTCAAAGCCCAGAGCCCTTAAACTTCAGCAGGCGAAATTGTAGAAACGCCTTAGGTCTGAGGACTTGGACGAAGCCCTAAACTCCAAAGCCCGAATTCCGAATCTGAAGAGGGCCTTAGGTTTAGGTTTTAAGGCGGTTTAGGGTTTAAGGTTTAAGGTTTAGGGTTTAAGGTTTAGGGTTTAAGGTTTAGGGTTTAAGGTTTAGGGTTTAAGGTTTAGGGTTTAAGGTTTAGGTTTAGGGGCCTCAAAAATCAACATTCGGTTGCGGCCCATAGAGCGAAGACCCTCTTTTTCTTTCAGGGACTGTTTTGGTTTTCATTATGTAACCATTGCGTAATTGTCAGGTCGAACTCTTTCCCCAAGGCCCGTCATTGCCAAAAAGCACCCCGAAATTCCTATCTCCTTAGACCTACATGTTGCAAGCCCGAGGCACCAGGTGACAATGTGAAAGCCATTCGTGGCATCTTCGACAGCCTGCGCAGGGAACAACAATGTGAGCACTTGTCTGCGCATCCTAAACCTTAAGCCCTCAACCGTCAGCCCTGAAGGCTAAACCCACTTTGTCAGTGGATGCTGTTCTGGACCTGACCCTACAGCTAACGATAAGCATATACCCCCAACACTGCATCCAAGTGCGTTACCATTAGGTAGTTTGGATCCCTTAAATGCGTACTTCAGTGGCAGGACGGTGGCCTCAGAAAACAAACTTTCTCAGTTCGCCAGTCTTGGAACAGCCTGTACAAATACCCGCAACCGTAGACCCCGGTTTACTCCAGAACTTTGGGATTATGGAGTCTCTGGGTAAAGCGGGGTCCATGCAAAATGCACCTCTAAGGGTGTTAATAGGACAGAGCTCCCGACTCTAAACCGGGCCACTGGGGCCAAAGTCCTACAAACCCTGCACCCAACCCTAGCACTCCAATTAGCTCAACGTAGCTACTATTTGTAGGCTTCAAACCCCAAAGTAGGTACTCCCCTAAACCCTGAGCCGTACAGATCTCTTGAAGATCCCTTAAAGGAACCCTTAAGGATCCCTCATAAGATCCCTCACCCTAGGGTCCAAGGACCTAATTATCATCTACTATCCAAAATAGTAACCCACATAACTACTATCCGAAAACCGAGTACCTAGCTGTTGGGTCCTTTGGACCCTTAGGGTTATAAATCCCATCAATGGGGTCTTAGGGCAACCGCCTGCAGCGGGAAGACCTCGAGCTTCAGAAGCTCTTCCTGAAAGTCACTGGGTCTAAAGTCTAAAGGGGTTTACCTGGAGATCCATAAACCTCGGTTTAGGGCTTATAGGGTTTAGGTTTTAGAGGGTTTAGGGTTTAGGGTTTAAAGCGGTTTAGGGTTTAGGGTTGTTGGAATAGGATTCCTTCAAGGTGGTTTTCAGTTTACTCTGCCTTAGGGTTTACCTGGAGATCCAAAATCCTATTGTTCCAGGGTCATACCCGATAATTACGGGGGCATAACCTACTGGGTGTACAGGCAGGCTTTAGGGTGGGGCCTTAATGGATAGAATAGGGTTCCTTTAAGGATTCTAGCAGGGTTGTTAAAGGGTCTATAATCTCAAAGCCCTAGTGTTTTTGTGGCACTTGGGGGTCCTGGTAGTGTAGGAGCCTTGATAGATAGAATGATTCTTTTTAAAGAGTTCCTTTCTTGTGTTTTTCATAAGGGTCTGATCTGGAAGCCATAACAACTAGAATAGGGGATTGGGATGTCTTATCTTATAAGAAGTATACCAAGGAAACCTAACCAAGCATCTTCTGTAATTTAAAACTATGAGATTGACAAGCTTCCTCTGGTTCTCTCGTTGGGTCGTATATGAATGTCATCGGTTCAGGATTAAGGGAGTATGAACAGAATATGTGAAAGCCTTCTAAATGGGCTTAGGGCTTAAGCATAATAAAGAAGTGGGAATGAGTGATGTACAGCAGAAGCCAGAAAGTTGGAATATGATTATCGTAACCCCTTTAAGGTAAATTTTAGGGAATCCTACCATTAACCCATATTCCAACTTTCTGGAGTTCCCTTTCGGTCATTTCCTGGCGGGGCTCGGACATATGGGTTTCACCGACCCCAGAGACTCCAAAACCCTTAATTAAGGAATATACCTTAAATTGTAATAGGATCCCTACTATAATTTAAGGTATATTCCTTAATTAAGGGGTTTTGGAGTCTCTGGGGACTCGATAGATCAATCACTCGATTGTCGATTAGCTGCTTAGTTGTCTTGTCGGTCCCTTGTAAGCCCTCCCTGCCTAGTTGCAAGAAACCTCACCCCGGCTCATGCAGATCATGAGCCTTGCAGACAAGGCCGGACCTTCCTCTTGATGGACTAGGACAGGATGACATTGTGCTCATAGATTAGGGTACTTGATGTATTTTGTCCATCGTCAGCAGGATCTCTGTGTCCCTGATGTTTCCGCGATTTGGGATTTGAGGTTCGGGGTCTAGGAATTTGGACTTGGAGATTTCGAGCTTCGCAGCGAGCTTTAACTTTTGAGTGTCGATGCCTTCCAAGCCAAGCACCACTTGCTCGTCAAAATAAGTCCTTATTATGGGCTTTGAGACCCTCTACCCCCCCTCCCCCTAACCCCCAAGAGTCCCTGTGATTTTAAAACCTACACCCCCCAAGAGTCCCTATGATTTTAAAACCTGAACCCTGAGCGGATGTAGGGTAGATAAACTTCGAAACGCCGAAACCTCAAATCGTATCTGCCATGACTTCAGCTCCACAAGCCCCACCGAACCCTAACTTACAGCGCGAGAAACTCGCTCAGAGGTATTATAGGGGCCTTCATAATTAGAATAGGGTTTTGCTGTCCAGATTCCTATTATCATAAGGAGCCCCATAAAAGTATACGCAATTATTCGGGCCCCTATTTTATGAAAATCTAGAGGTCGCCGCCCTGAGCCCTACCGGACGGTACACCTGCACGCCCACGCGCAGCGGGCTGGGGGGAAGAAACCTCGTGGCAACCAAGAGAGCTGCAAGCAACTAACGGTTCGAAAGGACGGTCAATCTTCTTGGGGTGGTCACGGCTCAATCTGTTTCTACAGTAGCGGCCTTAATAGTTGGAATATTGTTTTGGTGCCCATATTCCTATAGTTATAGTACGGACCCCCACAATAGTATAGGCACTGATTAAGGCCCCTATATTAAACATCCAGAATCCCCCTCGTAGTAGCCCTTATAGATCCCTTTAAATTGAACCCTAAACTCCAATTCTTAAGGCCCCTTTTTGTTACCTGCCGTTGCTACTTAAGTGGTCGGAGGGTTTGTTTGCGATGCGGACTTCAGGGTTGACTGTTTAGAAGTTACTTGGAGGGTCGGGGGACTTAGTAAGTACTTGTTTTAGAGACTTATCAATACCATAGCCACAATTAGGACACCTACTTATTCCAGTAAGCACGTGCCGGGCAACAGTATCTGTAATCTCCAAACTGTTCAATCCACTGCTCGCCGTATGTATTAAGTTTCGGGGCAAGAAGATTGAAACCCAGTACTACATTTAGAGCATCTGGTAGCATCTGGTGTTTGCTTCTCCACGAGCTACTCACAAGGACCCGCTCGTAGAAACAAACTGGCCTGGCCAAACGAGGAGGCACCAGCCGATTTCGTGTCCGAGTTGGGGTTAAGGGTTTAGGATTAAAGGCTCCAACTCTAAACTTCACATCCCGAGACCCCAAACGACTGCTTCGCCGAGACCGCTGCTGGCTCAGCACCGACGCCATCATGTTGGAGTCATACCTGGTGGCGTTTAAAGAGATCTGCGTAGGCCCAAAGGCTCCATGTACCCATATAGCCGGTACTTGGGCCTTAAAGTACCCATATAGGGACCCTTTTAAGGCCTAAATACTTACCATATAAATACATGGATAGTTGTCAAGAGTAAGGTCCCTTTCTGGGTACCCTAAATAGTAGGTGCCGTATTATCATAAGGATCCAAAAAGGGACCATAATTTTGACAACCACCCACATGGCGCCTTTGGGAGGGTTGGGAGTGGAGGCTTGGGCCCCAGGCTGAAGATCCCGGGTTGGTGCTTCTGACCTCGCCGCTTTCAGTGATAAACCTGACAAATGAAATCCGCAGCCTCCACCCTTCGTCCCCAGAAATACTGACGACAGGGAAAGGAATTCCGTGCAAATAGTCCCGGGCACCCTGAAGCCGTAAACCCTACACATCAGCCCCCAAACGTTATCCCTACATACTTACATGTAACACCCTAAGACCTCAAGCCTGAACCTCAAACCTCCCAAAATTGACAATACAGGGGCCTTCAGAAATAGAACAATGGCGCACATATACTACAAATATATTGAGGAGCCACCAAGATAGTAGTGGTAGTTATATAGGCCCCTAATATCGCACCCTATTATGATAGATCCCTTAGACCCTTTAAGGATCCCTTTAAAGGAACCCTTTAGCCCCGAAGCACAGGAGATCGAACCTCTGGGCCCCGCACGCATCGCACATGGAGATGTAGGCCACGTCGAAGCTCATCACCCCAAGCCGGATTACGATCGAGGCCTGAGAGTTCATGAGTGACTTGCGGTTCTTGTGTGCCCTCTGTGTGCACAGGAAGTACAAGGCGGTGCGGACGGTCCTGCCCAAAAACCTAATCACAGGACCGCTCTTGGCATTCTGGGAGGGGGGGGGGCTCGGATAGAAATTCGGGGGGAGGGGAAGGGGGGGGGGGGGGGGCTGGGAATTTAGTGGGGAATTTGTGTAGCCTTCGGATGTAGGCTTTAGGTGTTAGGGCTTCTTGATGTTTTGACTGACTTTTGAAGAAGATCTCAGAGCCTATTCGTACTACGATTCGAAGGACCTACAAGTGGCGATTGCATGTTGAACTATCACTAAGGCTTAGGGCACTAGCTTCATGCTGCAATTCGGCTTGCAACGTCCTTGCTGGCATCACCGGCTGTCCTTTAACGCGTGGATTGTGTAGGATTTTAAAGCAGCGTTGCGGATTTGGATGCGCCCGTGGTCTTGGAGGCTTGCCGGCTTGCCTTTAGGAAAACCTGGCAGCAAGTACATCACGTCTTTTAGAACACAAATGCGCTTTTGTTCAACCGATTTCTACTGCTTGTAAGCTTCTGGAGGCCGGAAATGATCGAATCTGCGCCCAACGCACCATCGGTGCTCAACGCCGTCAGCCCTAGGGTACCGAAGCCTTGAAACAATAGCTCTTCATCAGGGTCTATAGGAATCGAATGTTCGAGGTTAGGGCTTGCTGTGCCCACAGACTGATTGAGACGACTACTGTCCTGGCCTCATTTCTTTCTTTCGAAACACATCCGCAAGCGCAGCGTGAGTCCTTGCCACTCCCGATGGAAAGGTCCCCATCAACCCTGAACAACCTAAGCCTAGCTTTCTGCACTGTACCTTGCATTCCATAACAGGTGAACGCAACGAACCATCTAAGCATAAGCTGCTGAAGGTATGACCGCTGCGACGGGATAGGTTGAAGAAGCTTACATCTCTGACACCCTGAAGCCAACCCTCGAAATTCTACACCCTAGACTCTACCTAACCACGAGATGAAATCTCCTTATCCCTTAAACCCTTGAGCCCTTACACCCGTTCACCCGTAAGCATTCATTAAGCCCTACACCCCAATTATCTCTGTACCTCACTTGGAGGTTTACGGGGTCTATGGTTTATATCTGTTAGTTGTAATGCACATGCATGAGCCTCAACCATGAGCAAACTATACTGACCATGCAGAACTGAAACATTAGCTCTGTTCCTGTCCTTCTCAGTCTTTCTCAAGACTAGACTCTGTTCTAGATTGGTCTGGAAAGCGATTTCATGATTCTGAGACCCCCCCCAAACCCTAAACCCTCAACCACTTAGAGCTGCCGGTTATTTTGGGAAGTGACACATGCAGGTCTAGGTTCCTAGTACTAGTACTAGCACTAATACTAGTAGTACTACTACTACGACTACTATTACGACGACGACGACGGCGACTACTACTGCTACTACTACGGCTACGACGACGACTACTTACTACTACTACTAACTACTACTACTACTACTACTACTACTACTACTACTACTACTACTACTACTACTACTACTACTACTACTACTACTACTACTACTACTACTACTACTACTACTACTACTACTACGGCGACGACGACGACGACGACGACTACTACTACTACTACTACTACTACTACTACTACTACGGCTACGACGACGACGACGACGACGACTACTACTACTACTACTACTATTGCTGCTAGTAGTTCGACGCTAGCGAACTTAAGCAGGAGTCAAGGATTGCAACATATGCAAACGACAACCCTGCTCCCCCCCCCCCCCCCCCTCCCTCATATTCCGAGCAGAACGAACCCATCTCCGAGTTCCTAAACCCTACCCCCCCCCCCAAGCTTCGTATATCCTCAACCCTCAAAACTCTAGATTCTAGATTCCCTCTAGGCCAATACCGGGAGCCTGTAAATCATTTGTTTAGGGCCCCTTGATATTCTTCCTGTTTGCAAGTCCTAGGAAAAGGTGGGTTGCTTCGGGTTTACGTACCTCCTAAGCCTCACGAGCCTCCTGTGCCGAAACCCGAATTGCCTGAAACCCTGTAACTGCGAAGAGCTGCGAGCATGATTTGCGCATAACTCCCAATCCTCAAGCTGTTTATTGGCGATTTACTTCAGGTTTAGGGTATGGGTAGAATATCTAATGGTCGGAAGCCACACTTATAATCACAGCCCCTTATAGTTGCCTTCTCATCAAACCACAAGCACCAAACTCTGCGGATTACCCATAACCCTGATCCGACCCAGGGAAGCCTTACGCGGGGTGGCGACAGTTGGACAAGGCACTCTAGGCATGGTGCCGGTGCTCTCAGCCCATGAGATTCCAGATGCCAGGCTGGGGTTACTCGGCTCCAGAACTACCTACTTGTCAGGTATCATGGGGAACTAAAAGGTTGATCTTTTCTGGTTATATAGGGATTATATGGGGACAATACTACCCCAAAAAAGGTTAAAGGTTACTTACTCTACTACTAGGACTAGAGAGGTTTATATAAGTGTTTTATAACTCTCGGGCTCTGTAGCAAAATATTCTCTCAACTACAGGCTCCAGGAAGGTTGTACAACTACAGGGAGAAGAGTTCTAAAGGTTTCGGATTCTAGGTTTTAGATTTACTAGAAACTCCGAAACTCCTAAAACCACCCTTCATACCCTAAACTCTGGTGTCCCGCGACTTGCTGCTTGCTCCTTGATAGATGGGTCCTGCAGTCTCTGGCTTCTACAAGCTTGATGAGATGGGATTTTCCGAAAATTAGGGGTACCTTTTAGGGTCCTTATAATAAGGATCCTACGATTTAGGGTACTATATAATTAGGGTCCCCTATTTTGGGGAAACTCCCAGGTTGACCTCAACTCTAAAGCCTACTCGGAGGGTCGGGGTATTTAGTAAGTAGGTAATAAGTAGAGTTGTAAGTATCCTCAAAAAGAATCCTGATTGGGGTTATGAAACTTACAAGGTTCCTGTGTAGCCCCTTTATAATAAGGGTACCCTTATCCTACTATTCGGTTGTTACCTAAGGGGCCCCTAAGAGAAAAGGGGCAACGGGGTACTACTCAGGAGCCTAGCTTACAAGCCCATACATGAACTACTTGCTCCCTAAACCCTAAACCCTAACCCCTAAACCAATCCACCTACTTCATAAGTCCCCCCAGCCCTCCAAGTACCTGGGACTGGCAGGTCCGTAACTCAAATGCTTTGCAGTCTGCCCTCCCCACTCCCTTTCTTGACTCTCTTCTTCAACAACCGGGCCCGAAAAAAGTTCAGATTTTCTAAGATAGGGCCAATATATACGGCCAAAAAATTTAAAGTTCCCCCGTTCACTATCTAAGTTTAGGGGTACCCGGGCTCATAGCCTGGATCTGTTATAAAGAGCAAGTAGGTACCCGCAGAAAGGAGCATGGGATGACCCTTTTCGAGGTAGGGCTCAGAGCTTGGAGTATAATCCCACCAAAGGCTCCCCCCTAAGTACCTACATGGGGGATACCTACCCAAAATATATATATTAATACCTGCTGTAGTGACCCTCTTTTCTTCTATATAGATACGTACTTAGGAACCTGTGGGAACAAGGTTCTGCTTTCTTGGGCTGCAGGCTTTTGAGTATGACTTCATGGCTTGTGGGTTCTGAGGGCGCACATGGGATGTAATAGGGCATTAGGGTTCAGGGTAAAGGGTTTAGGGTTTAGGGTTTAGGGGGTAAATGTTTCAGACCTTGGCGTTTAGGCTTGAGGGTTGAGTTTCACGATCTCGGGGGCAAGCACGGCACCGTCTATGCAAGGCGCACAAGGTCTGCACTGAGCGCGCCGGCGTGCAGGAGTCTCGGATGACGCGTTTTTTCCAAAGTCCAAGGCGAGGCCCTGGATCCCAAACCCCAAGCCCTGAACGCTCGAAGCTGGTACTTGGAGGGTCAGGGGACTTAGTAAGTAGATGATAAATGTGCTGATAAGTGCCATAACCCCGATTAAGATCCCTTTTAGGGTACTTATAAGTCTACTTAGTACCTACTTGCTAAGTCCCCCGACCCTCCAAGTACAAGTCACGGACACCGTCGGAATCACACTGTGATCATCCTCGAGCCAGATTTTGCTTAAAAAGCAGACACCAAGCACCGATAACGGTTCAACGCACGGCTTCTGCGGGATAGCACAGCAAACAGCCTGTCCTCAAGACTCTACTTGGAGGATCATGGGACTTAGTAAGTGGGGTTATATGTACCCTAACTGGGGTTATGAGTAATTATAAGTATAGTTACCCTAATTATAACCCTAGTTACTAAGTCCCATGACCCTTTAAGTACATATCAAGTATCCTTGAAGCCTGGGAACAGTCCCACTTTGAGCTATGCGGGGTGCTTAGGAGATGACCGAAATTCCTTAGTGGCACAAGCCTCCACACGTTCATCCGCTCCATCGAATTTCGCACGCAGGTAAAGTTGGAACTGCAACTCATCATGCCACGGCACTGGGGACGATCCGATCATCGGTAGATTTTCTAAGGGCGTGTGCGTCAAACAAGTACAAGGCAGACTCACAATAAGGCTTAGGGTTTAGGGTTTTAATGCTAGAGTCTTACTGGACCGAAGATTGAGTTGCAGGATTTCGAACTTTGACAGTAACGGCCGACCTTGCAAACCATAACCGCTGAGTACACCTCATGAATAAATAAGGATCCCTATGCTATACTGACCTTAGAACCCTAGCAAAGATGATAGTTTTAGCTGTTTCTTAGGGATTATAATAACCAAAGATTAAAAAAAAATATCTCTAAGTACCCCTAAGTATGGGGCGATGTTTGATGATAAGACGGCCCAGAGCTGAAAGATGCGCGACTCGAATTGCTCATGCCCCGCACTTTGCAGAGCAGAGTTCTGTTATTACGCCAAGGGTCCGACGGTTGATGATCAAAATGCTGCATTACCTCAAGGACCCAAAACTATGGGAATTATGGTCTATTCCTTACTAATTATGGGTCATGCAGGATTTATATCATCAGCCGGAGTACCTAATAATTATATACTTTCTCAAATCCTAACCTACATAACTACTATCCTAGAACCGAGCACCTGAGTATTGGGTCCTTTGGACCCTTGGGGTTATGTCCAGTCCAGCCCCTAGGCAGTCAACACCGTCGGTGTCCGGTGGAACAGTTTGGGTGGACAGGCGGCCATAGGTTTCTCCTTCACCGCCACACGGTGCGGATGCCAATGTACCCAAATATCGCATCCTCGCCTACACACGAAGCTGCGGTTACCATCGTCGTGAATGAACCGAAACTACAAGTCCTGAAACGTAACTGTCCCTACTGCTACCTTTACCCTGAACTGGCCCTAATTAAGCATTGAGCCCCGCACTCCAAGTACTTGCTACGATTCTAAAGCCAATTGAGTACCGAATAATGAGCCACTTGAACCTTCAGAGCAACCCTAAACCCTAAACCCTAAACCCTCTGAAAATCTGAGTCCACTGAATCTGCTCTCGTTGACCGAAATAAGTTACGCGTAGGCGGCAGGAAGATGCAAGAAATATCGCAAAAGGGCCATGCAACAGATCAAACCACTTAAAGTTCTGGATTTGGGGAGTGGGGAGCTAGCTGCCTTCCCAACTTGCAGAGTGACGATTTCAGTCTCAAGGTGGACTTACAAGTAGGCTCGTAGGAAAACAGATCGGACAAGGAATGAGACGCACCACGAACGTCTTCATAGTCACCCATACTGCTCCTTCGGGATCATTCTAATAGGTAGACAAAAGTCTACGCCAAAGCCCCACGCTAGTTTCACGAGTCCCTGATTCAGTAGATCGATTTGACCTGTCCATAAGGTAAAAGCCAGAAAGTTGGAATATGATTATCCTACGCCCTTTATGGTAAATTATAGGGCATCCTACCCTGAAACCATATTCCAACTTTCTGGAGTTCCCTTTAAACACTCCGACCCCAAGTAAACCTCGCACTTGAGAAACCTTGCCGATGCCAAGTAAGTATCTTTTGCTCTGGCATATCAGGCGCTTGAAAAGCCCGGTGCGAGGTTGAGAACCCCCAGACCCTAAACTCTTGTTAAAGGCTTTAATTCAAGTTACCATAATACGGAAACCTTTTTATTTACTATAGATCCATAATATGGTAACTGAACTTAAATCCGTCAAAAAAGAACCCAGAAACCTTACACCATCCGTGATCTCCTATTCGGGATCCTACGGGGCCAACTACGGACAAAGCAAAACTTGCAGCCTTTGGGCCCTGCTTCCTCCTTCTGCAACCTGCATGTGGGTACCTAGGAGGTGCTTTTAAAGCCTTTGAAACATGTTAGTTGGTAAGATCCTCTTAAGCCCGATAAGAGCAAATATAAAATGCCCCAAAGCCCTACCTAGGTACTATCTTCAATGGTCTCAAAACGATGCGAGTAGCCTTTCGCCCCCGCAAATCTAGCGAGTCGAGATGGTAACACCACATGAGTCGAGCAGAAGAGGGATGATATCCACGGATTAAGCCCTGCACCCCGAACGATTGTGTACACATCTTTCAGTATGTGTGAATACATACACAAATTATATATACATATACACCCCAATCCTGCAAACCCTAAACCCTGAATCCGTAGGCCTAAAACCTTTAACCAACACCCTAAATCGCAAACCCCGAACGATAATCTGGTCAAGATTGACTCGGCGTTAGCAGCTGAAAGAAATAGGGGATTTCTGAACCTGGTGGTGGTTTTTTTGAAGAGTCCGTATCGAAACGCTCCTACTGTTTACAAAGCCCATAGATCCGTATAGATACTGAGACCCTCAATTACGTCAGATACCCGCTGAAGGTTCAAGGGTTATCAATCAGGAATGATTCTGGTAGTTCCCAGTGAGCCCAATGCCCCCCAATGAAGGAATGCACCTGAAACCATTTCAGCCCCCTTGATTATCATGTACTGGGCTCTCTGGGCTCTAGGATTTTACAGCCTGTTTGCGGAGCTTAAGCGCACGTAGCCAGACCTTCAAAAACAAGTCTTTCAGCGGGTTCAATACCTCACAGCCAGGACTGCAGGCCTCTGTGGCAGCTTGTTGAGCATATTACAAGACCCAAACATCTAATATGGCTCTTGAATCCATGGGATTTTGTGGATATGAGTAAGCTACCTATCTAATATCGCTCTGGAATAATGGGACGATGCTGTGGATATGAGTAAGCTACCTAATCTGTGCGAAGCACCCATGTTGTCGGCATGCCGCACGTCATTGACTCGTTCTGGCTCTCGATCACCTGCACGGCTCGTGTAGACCCAAAGGGTCCTATGTACTGGTGTTGGGGTATAATTTATCAAAGTTCAAGAGCAATGCTCTATTGATAAGGATTGCATAGTATAGCTGGTGCGGTGCAGTAGGTGCGGTTGACTGGTGCGGGTGGTGCGGTGGTAGGTGCAGTTGACTGGTGCGTATGGTACGGTGGTAGGTGCAGTTGACTGGTGCGTATGGTACGGTGGTAGGTGCGGTTGACTAGTGCGGGTGGTGCGGTGGTAGGTGCGGTTGATTGGTGCGGGGGGATACGGTGTTAGGTGTAGGTGGAGAGTGTAGATAGTACAGCCGGACGGTGCGAAGTGTACATGGTACATGATGGTGGCAGTGGCTGTAGGCGGTGCGGCAACAGTGAATGATGCTGCTGGTGCGATGCGTCCATCATGGAATCATGGATCATGGAGTTGGGTTAACATAATCTTTAATCTGTTATCTACTTCTAGAGGAATCTAAAGGCACTATGGTGAAGAAGGGGATGTTTGTATTATATTATGGTTAAATTAAATTAGATGTGTCTGTGTAAGCGAAATGTGTCAGAATGACCTCAAGCAGAACTAAGCTAGTTTCAATCTCGCGAGCCGATTTTTTCACGCTCGCGCAACCCCGGTCAGCACAGATTCTTGCGAATGCCGTTGATCGGGAACCTGATCGGTATGGGAGTCAATCAGACAACTATGCCAAGCTGGGTCATGCTACGACTACAGATTACAGATACATGATACATTCAAACTGCAGGCAAGATGCTTTCGATTCAGTGCTTCGAGCTCTTCGTCTTCGCTTTCGGTGTTCCACCGCAACAAAGACACCAACGCCATAATCACTGTCATGACACACGGCGCCGTGAAACTCAGCATCAGCAGCAAAACATCAGAGCTCATGCATTGCTTCACACACCAAGTGTTCAAACTCCCAACAACTTCTAGCTTCGAACTTTTCGACAAGACGCCTGTTGCCTGCCAGATCGCTCAGCTGATGCTGCGTAAGATCAATCACGAACGGCAAGTCATGGATCGGGAATCCCTGCAACATCATCATCTCATCGCCTCAGAATACCGCTGGGCGAGCTAGTTCTACAGCTATGTTATGTGCCATTTCCTTCTCAAGTTGCAATCCAATAGAATGCCGGCTAGCGACCGATCAGCAGTCGACGCTTCTCCGTCGACCATATCTTGCTCCCAGGAAGAATCGTTGGAACGACCTGCTTGGAAAGTTGAATGAACCGAAATGATACAAAGCAACTTATCTAATCACAGCAGTTCAGTTCATACTAATTAATTGCTAGAAAGGTGCATGCGACTCCGCTATGCTGCTGGCCATGCGGTTGACATTCTGAGAGATGTCGACGTAGGTCATGACCCTGCCAGCGCCATCCGTCGCCCGCCGTCTCTCATTCCAGATCTCCACGAAGCAAACTGCCTCATGTGTAAACCGCACAGAACTCCTTTATTATTCTAGGCGGCCTAATCGGTTTAACGGTTTGTAAAAGATTGATTTAAGCGCTTACAGGGCAACTTAACAATAAACTTTCAATTCTTCAATTAGTGAATTATTTAATCAACCAAATCAATCACTCATCAATCATCTACGGCTCTGCGGCCTCCTGCTCACGGGGTGTGAGCGTCTGGAACCAGCCATTGTCACGCAAGTAATCAGGCGGAACCAGGGGCCATCTCACATTGTCTCAGCTCAGAAATTTCAGAAACTATGAATCTATGAATTATGAATCAAGAACAAGAACATGTAATGTCATCTGCTTCTCACTCACCACTGACAGAGGCTCAGACACTGTTCGGCCATCGACTGGTGCAAGCTCATCCACTTATCGCTGGCTTTCACCGTCGTCGACTCTGCCGGAGTCGGCGCACCATCTGGTTCATCGGATGCCTTCGCCGCATTCTTGACCGCTTTCCCAATCATTTCAAAATTCCTGCGATCCAACTCATCAGCCAGGATGGCACGGTCATCATCGAAGATGATGTCAGACTTATTTCATCAGAAATGCGACAAGCAGAACACCCCACGCCTACTCTAGAGTGCCACCAAGTTGCCAACGTGAGTCCACATCCAGGCGGTGTTTGCATAGCCAGAATCCTGCCATGCAATTTGGCCAATATGTCTTCCTGAGACTCTGCCAAAGCGGCTGATGCCCGGAGCCCTATGAAGTAGAGGCGACATCTGCGCTGTGGCACGCCGTGGCTGTTGGACATCATTTTCTCAACCACAACGTGATACCCCATGTGCTTGAGGTAGCTGACGGCAATCGACACATTGTTGGACCTTACTTACTACGACATTGACAGCATTCAGAGACTAATTGTGAGCACAGCGCAGCAACAACAGATGCTCCGGATAAGCAGTGCAAAGTAATTGCTTCACGGCAACCCAACATCCTCTTCTGTGGTGTCCGAGCCCATTGTGTCAACATTCTCCAAAATGAATGCCATAGGCTGGGATTGATCCAAGCAAGAGCACACGCCCTTGAAGGTATTGACTGATGAGCAGTCCTCACCACATACAAGCACATCTCAATGCAGGTCTGAACAAACTGAGCATGTGTTTAGTTTGAATCAAGTTCAGTGGCAGAGTCATCCGCCATCGCTCGGCGTAACATCTCAAAGTCGTTGTTCATTCTGCTGAATGACCTGGGATTGGGGAAATCACAGTCATGCACTCTGTCAACTGTAATTGACCTAAACTGCACAGCCAATTATTCAATTATTCCAAGTGACTTGCAACTGAAGCCAGCACAGAACAACGAAAAGGTGTGGACACCATTCCCGCATCCAAACGATTCAATTTCCTTATAGGCCGTGCACCACAACACAACAGAATCTCAGGTCAACACAGCAGAATTTTTAGACATGACTGCAACAGACTGCCTGGCGTGATGATTCAAGTTCAAGCACAGCTACGCAGTGTTTCCCATGTCGCACACACCACCTCTCGGCGTCGCTGTCAATCTTTGTAATGTCGGTGAAGCAACAACAGTTGTCCTGCCGAATGGCTGAATCACGTAGCTGGAGGCTGACATAGCTTTCAATTGCGAAAGCTGGCCTCGTGCGCCAGGACGTTATTCATGAGAAATTTCTGCTTCCAGGGAGTAATCTCGGAAGTCCACTGAGTGTTCACCTCAGGTAGCACTGAATGATCAACGACAACAGCAATTCAATCCTAAGCCGATGGCTTTAAGTTCACAGCGTATCCCGACACCATTCCAAAACGTTGCGTGAACTCTACCTCACTACCTTATACACTCATTAAAACCTAAAACCGCAACCTACGGACCTACGACGATGACGATACTACTACTACTAGCGCTAGTACCTACACGTACATCATCAATCTCTATCTGAACTAAGTCGAAATCCGAGCCGCCATAACCTCATAGACTCCAAACACATAGAGCTTTATGCATTTTGAAATTTCAATTATTTTAATTTGTGAAACAATCGGTTTAGCCTGACAGTTCCTAAAACACTCAAACAACTCTGTTAAACACCTCCCTCCCGAAACACAAAATCAAGTGAGTCAGACTTAAACTTAGGCTCAGACTCAGACTCTGACACAGACTTAAACTCAGACCTCGATCATCGATCTACTCAGTCTACTGTACTATTACTGTATAATATATTTATATAAATATACCATGTCTTATTTAAATTCAGTTTTACTGATCCGAATCCGAACCCAGGCCTCTGATCACAGTCAAGGCATGTGACTCAAATGCCACACTGTGGTGTGTGACTACTGACTACTTCTACTAGATGACTTAAACTAAGACTTACTAAACCTAAGGCTAAGGCTAAGGGTTAAGGCCAAAATAAATACTAAGACTAAGACTCTAATACTACGACTCCGGCTACGACTTGACTACGACTCCTCCTCCTCCTACTACTACTACTACCAGGACCAGGACCTGATCGTGCATGTGCCGCGCCGGCATAATATAGATACACGTAGACCGTAGACTGATCAACTCCGACTCAGACAAATTGTAAAAGAACCGAACCTAGACCGGACCTAGACTCTAGACTCTAGTGACTCTAGTAGCATTTAATAGACTGTGACTGACTGACTGACTAGTAATAGTAACAGTAATAGTCATGGTCGTAATAGTGATAGACTAGTAATAGACTAGTGACTAATAATAGATAGACTTTGATGGATATCTGAGCACTGTAGACTCTAGACTCTAGACCGTCTGACTCTAGTAGTGCAGTGCAGTGTTTAAGAGAGTCTAGACGCTGCATAATACTGGCTACCGTATGTCACAAGTCACAGGTCATAAGCCATGATGTGCAAGCAAAAGTACGTTGATCTCCAGATCGAAGTGCTTCGAGAGCGTGGCGAACGTAGCTTTTGCTGCCATCTCAAAGCAACCACTCCCGGTACACCCAGACATCAAAGCAACGTTAGTCGGGAACGTACGCATGTGAGTCGCCAGGACCTCGTTCGACACCGAAGTCAATACCCGATGCAGTTTGGCCTCACACTCACGACTGACTCACGCAGGTTCAGTGGCAATTGCAACAACCAGGACCCAACTGACCCAACTGGTTAAGTCTAAGCTGCATTGGCCCATTGTCTCCACGATGGCACTGCCAAACCAACATCATCTTCCATGTCACTGGCCTCCGCCTGGGCCTCTTGGAACTCATCAAGTGATCTGCCGTCGCTGTCGGACTCGTCAGCGTCGCCGGACTCGCCACCGCCATCTGCGTTGTGTGCGCTGCCGGTGCTGTGATCATCCGCAGCCAGGTTGGCCAGATGATCATCAAACTCATCTCCAGCCGCAGCCTTGTGGCTGTCCCGATCCGTGTCCACGAGCTGTGTTTCCAGCTCAGCTAGAATGGCGGCTTCAGTCGCCTTGTCTAGCTCGACAGTGGTATCAGCTGTCTGCTCGACAGCGGTATCAGCTGTCTGCTCGACAGCGGTCTCAGCTGTCTGCTGGGTCTCTGCTGCTCCGGCTGCTCCAGTGACAAGAATCTCGTCCTGCTGGCCTAAAGTCTCGTCCTGCTCTGTTGTCCCAGCCCCAGCGTCACGAGGCGCAGCTGACGAGGAGGCGGTTGTCGGTGAGGTGGTAGCAGACGATGCCGCCGCCACTTGCATTGGATTCCCACTGCCACTGTCACCACCGCGGCGGAGATTCTTCCAGAACCTGTCAGCAGCAACATCAATCACGTCTGATGGCCGCTTCGCCGGAGGTGGTGGAGTTACCAAGGTCACTGAACGAACTTCACCTGTCTGTTCATCTGCTCGCTGAATCTGCTCCATACGTGTCCCTGCCGCCCGTGGTGGAGTGGCTCTGGATTTCGCAGCTTTAGCAGGCGGAGGGGTCAGAGACGCTTTAGACGCAGTCGCCTTGGCCTTGGATTTAACTTTCGCCGCAGGCGGCGGCCCAGCAGGTTTCGATTTTGCCGGCTTTGCCTTTGCCATAGCAGATGGCCGCACATGCACAAGGTCCACACAGTGTGAATCACAGTCTCTCAGAGTCTCTCAAAAAGTGTCATAATCATGAGGGACTCAGGGACTCAGGTTCACAAGGTCCACACGCATGTGTCTCACGTATCCCGATCGACGACTGACTGCACTGAACTGTCTGCCGTGTCTACGACTACCGAAAAGCTAAGCATCACTAGCCAAAATTTGCAACATCAGCATCGACAAACAGCTTGCTCCAACCAAACTCGAAACTCGCATGCCGGATCGTGCCTGGGAACTGCAGATGTGCAAGTGCAGCACAACGCGACATGATCGAAGATGATGACAGCGCTGATAGCACTCGGCACTCATTATATTTGTCAGCTTGCTTGCATCACTTGCGAGAGATCCGTCTCATCGAGCCACATGACTCGGCACTATGCCAGCCGTACAGCTGAATTTGGATTGGACTTGCAAATTGGAACACTGGGACAGCAGCTAGTGATTGCCATCCATCCAACTATTGCGCCTTCCCAAAGCGCCTGAGAACTGCAACGCCAATGTGGCCTATGGTACCGGGACCGAGCCCAACAATCAAACACTCACAAACTGAACACCTCACCTAGGGCCCATATGTCTCTACACATGCTACTCCTAACTCCTAACGAACCAACGGGGTGGCTTGGCGTTGTCCTGCATCTGCTGCGGCTGAAATTCTGAAACGTTCATCCGCTGCCACAGTAGCCCGATCCTGTACGCTACTTTGCTCCCGCGGATGTGAGCTTGCACGAACTCAGAGACACATGATACATGATACATGACTACATGATACATAATACATAATACATATCATATCAGATCACATAATTTGTACAATTCAAATCTACTGTGACCTGGGCACTAGGCACTGTACAATTATCATAATATCGAAT